CTAAACTGCAACCATTAATTCCTGTATTCTCCTGCCAATGCTACTCTGTTCAGTGCTATTGTCATAAATGTTGCTGAGTCTGAAGCCCCTGTCTCCATAACAGTGTCTCCATTACCAGCTGGACGGTGCTATAATGTGGATGAGAAACTTTATATTAGTTAAAGAAAAAAAAAAACTACTCATTTCTAAACTTGATCTTCAACCTTCCTATGAAGGGTTGTTATTAGATGGTTATGTTGATCATGCACACCTGTATATGATTCTCCTTTTAAAAACAAATTAACAATCAACCTACCTGCTTCCTTGGCTACTAGAAACCAGAATCAACATAAAAAAGTGTCAAGCTTCCTTTAACAGCCAGGCCACTGGTTGCAAAGGCTGTAAAGAAAGCGGTACAAGACTGTCTTAGCCAAAAGCAAAGCCATGATATATTGCCCTGGGTGTGCCAAAGAAATGCAGAGTGGAACTAAAAAAAAAACCTGGATTCTCCAATTCTCATCCACGATGCCTTGCTTTTCTACGTGGGATTATTTTCTTCTCTAATGACTGCATGTCACAACGAGTTAGTACCAGCTCATTTAAAAAGTTGGAGCCAATCCAAGGAAATACACAAGGCTACTGCCCTTTCACCAAAAAATCCTTCATTAACTAATGTTGATGGAAGCACATTTAGCTACAACAATTTGCATGGCAGTTGAATTGCTGTTTGTATTGAATAGCAAACCAGAGAATAATAAAGGAGAACAAGAACATGCCAATGATGAGCAAGGAAGCATAGAGACCCTTCACCTGGTTCCACACTGATCATTTTGTCTAAAGCTGGTGAGAACAAATAGCAAGATTGCTCATTACAACACAGAACACTAATCACACTCTGTTGTCACCGCATTGTATCACTTCAACTTTGCAGGGGTCACACCTACATTCTTTATCTTGTCTGTTTGCAGTAGAAAGGTGCTTTTCAGCGATGCCCAGTAGCCATATTTCATCAGCGTAAGTTAATAACACCCTTCATCATTCCAAATGCATGTACTTGAACGCTACACCTATCAAACGAGCAATTGCTTACAACAGTGATATAAATAGAGAAGGCATTTTTGGGGATCTAAGTTAAGTACATAGTTAGGGTGGATATGGATATAAGACATCGTAGCTCTGGTGGTTGACATTGGAGGACTCCCAGAGTAAGTTAGGAGAATACAAACATGCGTACTTTTTTCTTTACAATTAAGTACTGAGTGGTACAAGTGAAAGCACGATATGTAGATGGGGCAGGAAGCTAGGAGAGCAAAGCTCTAGCTGTGGCTCTAGCACTAACTAGGTAATTGCATGTAAACCATTCTTTTTTAAGCCTCAAGTCTTCATCTATTTATGTAGAATGAAATGTTCTAATGTAGACTAGAAACTTCTTTCCAACTCTAAGTTCTCCAAGTTTCTGAACAGAGATAGGAAAGTCCAATGCATCCATGTCCCTGGAAACTTTTTAAAATGACAGAAATCTAACTAAAGCTAATTTAAGCAAAAGCCAAAAAAAAAAAAAAAAGGGGGGATGGTGGGTATGAGAATCAGGATTTATGTGGACTTTAGGCAAGGGTGTATCTAGTCCTCAACCAACTCTCTCTCTCTGTCCCTTAGCTCTACTTTTATTCCTTGCCAGCTTCATTCTTAGGCAGATTCCTTCTAAATAATGGAAAATATAGCTTCGAAGCACCAGGCTAATATAAGCTTATAGCCTCAGAAGGAGATTGAGTCTCTCCCAGTATCCGAATTAGTCCCTAAAAAAAGCAATTCCTGCTGAAACTGCTTAGCTCAGCTCATGTGCTCAGGGAGTAAGGTACTCTGACTTGCCAGCCTAGGTCATGACCCACTTCTGTGGCAGAAGAGGTTAGACTCCTTGGCTGAAAGTATCACAGAAATCACCTGGAGAGGGGGAATAGAAAGTTCTCAAAAAGAAGGAATGTACACAGACAAAAAACAAAACCAGGTGTCCACTTATACTCTGATATAGGCTGAGCAGAGGGTTGATGGGGAAGAACAGAAGAGGATTTCTGTATTTTAAATGCCAATTGTAGGAGTTCTTTTATAGTTCTTTTTATTCAGCTTTCCCAAATCAAGCATTGTCGTTGGTGTCAGCTTTTTGGCGGAGCAGCGTGACTCATTACATTTATGTATTTGGAACAAACTGAGAACATAATTTTTATTACAGTAATTCTACTATGAAGTTCTGAGGACAGACTGAAATTTTTACACCTACATTTTGTCAGATGAGTGGGTTGAATTTGGATAAATAAGAGATCCAATGTATGTAATCTAGTAAACTTTACCTATAGTGTTTGTTTGCTGTACCAAGATGACTCTAGATGTATGATATTGGTTTTCTTTTAGGGTTAATGGACCCCACTATCCATTACTCCAGCTTCACTGCACTATAAACAATGTAATTCATTGCAAGGGGCACACTATTAGAACCTCCTAATACCCAGAAGTAGTGGAGCAAAATGGCCACCCCGTACTATAAGATCACATAGGGACACAACGGTGATCTTTTATCTCCCGAAAGTTGAGGAAAGTTGGGTTGAAAACAATTTACTAAAACCAGCTGGGATAGACATCTGTTGTTGTGGTCTTCTGGTATCCATCCTCCTTCTTCTATTAACAGTACCTTGGTTTTGCGTTTGTAAACTCTCCTTTCTGGTTTTAGTGCAGTCCTTTTGGGATTATCAATGAAAGTGCCTCATAATTTCCTTTAGCCAAGTAGCAGGCAAGGGATCTAAGTTGGGCTCATTAGCTATTTATGGAATTTCATCTTGAATGGAGTGATACTAAGATGGGAACACTCAGAATAAAATGCCCATTAGTTAGCGCTATCGTCCAGACCTACCCTAGCTCTTCAGAATCTGGATTCTCTTTTCCATTGTGTCTGTTAGTTACCTCTGTATCCTTGTAATAATTGCTAAACACTGGAATTTCTAAATAGTTGGTATCAGTTAGCAAGTGCTGGGTACCAAACAATCCCAAAATTTCATTTATTTACCTCATGATTTTGTGAGTTGGAGCTTACGCTGGAGCTAGACAGTTTGTCTAGTCACAGTTGGGCTCCCCATGCATCTGTAGTTATCTTCAGGACAGCTGCGTAGCTCTATTTCTCGGGATTTGCTGACTGCCAGCTATAGGAACTTATAGGGTAATGGGGACAGGAGGTGTCCTGGACCGTGTGTCTCTTGTCATCTAGTAGGCTAGCCTGGGCTTGTTCCCACGGTTGTTCCAAGGGCGAAAGTAAAAGTGTGCAAGACCTCTTGAAGTCTCAACTTGGTACTGACACAACATGGCTTCTGTTGTATTCTATTTGTCAAACAGGCCAGATGCAGGAAGTGGAAAAATAAACACGACCTCTTGATGGAAGTAGCTGCAAAATCACATTGCAAAGGAGTAAGGATATAGGAAGAGGAATTACTTAGGATACTCAAACTAATTATCACACCCCAAGTTAGTTTCTGTCTTATAAAAACCTAATATGCCAACCAAAAGCCCTTTAAACACATAACCTAAAACATCGGCATGCACTTTAACTTTATTGATGTAACACTGATTATAGGAGATTTGGGGAGCCAAAGATAGCTCCTCTACAGGATAAAGAGTAAGAGCTACCTCTTATTCATAATCCTAGTAAATTGTGTCTTGAGGGAATTGCTTGCCAGTCCTTGGTAGCCCTCTTAGCCATGCGGTCTCAAAAGGCCATCACCAGACAATTATATCATCTGCCTGGTCTCCTGAAGTTTCAGTGTATTGCCTGCTCAGTTATGACATATACCAGCGTGCCGTGGCTACCTACTGTCTTACCGCTTCCTGCTGTATATAGTGGAACACTTGCTAAAAACATTTGCATTTGCCTGTCTGGGATATATATTGAATTTCTTTAAGTTATATTTCCCTTTCATGCAGCACAGCATCTTAGGAAGCTACATCAATCACAAAGTATAGCAAATACTAATATTAACATGTGCTGCTGTAGGTGTTTCTTGCCAGTTTTCATCCAAGCTCTGACTCAGCCCAACCCTCTTTAGGTTTGTGAGATCTAATAAGATCATAGCAGAGAGTGGTATAGCTGCAGGCAGAAAATTCTGCTTGCCAAATGTATTTTGCTTTATAGCAAGTTCATAAATTAATGTAGGGCACGGAGACACCAAGGCTGTACACATGCATTAATACAGAACCCTCTTCACTTGACTGTCTTCCCTTCCAGCCACTAATTTCTCTGAGATGGTGCCAAATTCTTGGTCTGATGTAGCTTCAATGGTTCCCATCCTCTCAATGTGAAAAGATAATTAATATGACTTTATAGTTGAGGTGATGTTCTACTTCCATTAACAACACTCATTATTCCAAGGTGTTTTAATTTGGTTATAAAAATTGACTCTGAGGGTGGAACTTGGCTTGGGGAGCTTATTTTAGGAGCACATGGTTTGTTTCTAATTTTTCTTTCAAAACAAATTTATAGAAAAAATTTTTGTTCCTTCTGAGTTATATAAGTATTGGACCAAATTCCTAAAACATAGGTATGACTTGGATTTTGTAACTGAGTTGGGTTCATCTTCTGGTATCTCAGGTAAAACTGGGACCTCTAGTGTTTCTCAGCTAGCTTTGGTTTGCCAGCGTCCAGAGCTCTGCCACATCTCATCATTTGAGATCAGTGAGCATTTATTTTGCATAGCTTGGAGCCTTGGTGGCACAGTGGTTAAGAGCTCGACTGCTAACTAGAAAACTGGCAATTTGAATCTGTGAGCTGCTCCTATGGGGCAGTTCTACTCTGTCCTATAGGGTCACTATAAGTCAGAATTGACTCATCGACAACAGGTTTGCGTTTTTGGTTTTCTCTCACTTAAACATAAAATTCTCTTTCTAGGCAACAGTTTATCCAAGCTACTGACTAAATTGGGTTTGATAATAAGAGGCAACCCATTTTAACATTGTATTTAGATGGGTATTTTACTTTCTTGTAGATCTGCTGGATGAAAACCACAGAAAAGATGAAGAAATGGAATCTCTGCAGGTAAATTCTTAAATAGGGCAAGTATCTTTAGGATAAACACATTTGTATTTTTACTTTGTTATCCTTTATTTTATTATTGTCACATTCAAACCATAATAGCAAAGGGGGTGAAAATTACAATGTCAGAACTTTAAAGCTCAAATGGGAATTTTCCGTCTTTTATAGTCTTTGAGAGCACTCACAGTCCCACTAAAGAAAGAAGCCAACTCAGACTTCATGCTGAGTTTTGAAAGGAACCTCTGTTCCTTGGTAGAGCTTAATAGGAACTGCAGCATTAGGAAGTGAAAGCAACACCCTCTCAAAGTCATTTCCCCAAAAACAGAAGTGATGAATGAGGGTGAAAACATTGAATTTACATTTTCAAGTGAAAATCAAAATTATTCTGATACCATGAATGTTGTCCATCAGTGACCAACCAAGAATTTGAGCGCATACATGGAACATAAGACTTACTTTGTATAGCCTCTCAATTCATCATGGGTTTGTATACATTTCTTGAACTGGAAAATTGTGTTTGAAGGAGTCCACTAGAATTTTAACTGACATGTCCATGGTATGAGCACTTGATGTTAAGTTGGCATCTCGCAGAAGTTCACTCTTCCTTTTACATTGAGCTATCTTACAAATGGGTAACTCTAATGTCTATCTTTACTAGGGGAAACATAATCAGTTTTACTCTCATGATAGAACCAGTTTACTTAATGTCACAATGGGGATTAAGAGCAGAAAATACTTTGGACATTTAGAGTTCTTCATAGGCGTGGAGCTGCAAGGCAGGACTAGAGAGTGATATAATGAGCTGGCTTGAGTGCCATAAGTAGTAAAGATGATTGCTTTTGGTAAAGATGTTGCAAAGGAAGGATGGGTCAAGTAAAGCCCAAAGAGCAAGAGAAATGTTCTATGACTGGAAATTCTTTTTGATGATATAGCCATTAAAAGGAAAAAAAATGCTGAGAAAGCATATAGTTTTATATACCTAATAAAACTGGGACTTGTTAGCCACAGTTTTGTGCAGATTAAATTCTTCTAACATCTTGAGCCATATTCAGGCATTTTAAAAAAAAAAAAAAAAGCTCTGGTTACTCCAGTCTGGGGCTAGGAAAGGCCTAACTCTGAGAAATTAATATCAGCAATGCATGTTCTTATACAAAGCAAAGCTCTGTGTACATTAGATGTGTATAGCAAGTTGGTAATAAAGGCTTTTTGAGGCATTTTGGTTATGTTTTGTGTTTGCCACTGGCCCCAGAATACCACGTATAAACATTTACTGAGTACATATCTGGCCTTTTGAAATGGCAGCACAAATCTTTTTTCAGTTTATTTGTCTTGAAATATAAATGTTGGGACCAGTAATCCCATTAAATTTGATAGTCTATGTTGCTTCTCAAATGCCTGTTAAGTACTGGCAGCATTTTCTACCAAAATGCCCATCCAATGCAAGAGAATGTGCCAGCTAACGAGCTATGGACGTTTATAGATGTAGAGGATCCAATGTGATGCCCAACAGCAGAAGAGTTAAATGTTGGTACTTTCTAGTGGCAGTTAGTGTCTGATACTAACACTCTACTAAGAACAAAGAGGGATTGACACTTCTTAGAGTACAATAGTTGATGTTGAATTAAGCACAAGAGAAGAGCCTAGTGCAGAGGCATATTACAGAAAGCCTTTAATTATAGAGACTAGAGGAAGATCCTTAGAAAAAATGCCTATATTATATTCAAATATAAATATTTTGGAGAAGTGATAGTTTGGAGAAGAATATTAAAATATATAGGTGGAAGTCTGACAGCCACACAATAGAACCTTGGGGGAAAAGACAAAGTCATTTGTAAAATAGTAATAATAGCACTAAAGATTGAAGGTTGACAACTTTGAGTTTTTAAGTCTTGGCTCTGCCTCTGATTCACTGGGTGACCTTGGGTAACTCGGTTAACTTTGCTGTGCCTATTGTCTCATCTGTAATGTAAAATCATAAAACTGTCTTCCAGAAGTGTTTAGTGTGGATTAGATTAGCCCAGAAGAGAGAGCTAAATATTTAATTCCAATTTACAATGTTAGCAAATCCCCATGTATCCAAATTGGAGTCAATTTTATTTAATCATGCTCATTTTATAATTATGTATAGCAGTTATTCTGCATTTAATATTATCCTCATTAAAGGAAGGGGGTGTTTTATTTATCTCTAAACCTTTCCCAGTCACCTGTATTTACTCATTGAACAAATATTTATTGAGTGCCAATTCTGTGCAAAGCACTTGTTATGGAAGAATTGTGTCCCCTCAAAATGTGTTGTAATTTCTTACCTCTATGCCTGTGGTTATAATCCCATTTGGGAATGGGTTGTCTTTGTTATGTTAATGAGGCAGGATTAGTGTAGGGTTTATTTTGAATCAATCTCTTTTGACATATAAAAGAGATTAAAAACAAGCAAGCCAGCAAGAAGATCTGAGGGAAAAGAGATGCCAAGCCACATGAAGATCTCCCGGGAGCAGAAGCTCAAAGAGACAAGGGCCATCTTCCAGAGCCAACACAGAAAGCCTTCCCCTAGAGCCAGCACCCTGAATTTGGACTTCTAGCCTCCTAAACTGTGAGAAAATAAATTTCTGTTTTTGTTAAAGCCACCATTTATGGTATTTCTGTCATAGCAGTACTCTACTAGGTGCTAGAGCTATAAAGGCAAGCTGGGTATGCTGGACACCTTACCTTCTAGGTGGAATCTAGACTATTAAATGGGTATTTATAACAAAATATTTTTTAAATGATGTTAGGCAGGATGTATAAGTTACTGTGGGAACAAATAGCAAGAACACTTGTCCCTGTTTGTTGAGGCTAAGGGTAGATTGAGATTGAGTGGTATTAAAGGTGAGTAGGGTTGGCTGGGGTGGGGTGATCCAAGAAGGCCTCTTAAAGGAAGCCGATATTTAGATAACAGGAGTTAGCTAGGCAAGTTTGGGATGAAGAGAAGAAAAGTTTTAGGAAGAAGAAAGGTCAGAGGACAGCCTGAAGTAAAAGAGAGCATCAATTGCGTATTTAAGAAACTGAAAGAAGTCTTTTAGTCCATGTTTAAGTTAAAGAAAGAAACAAATAAAATGGAGTGTAACATGAGAAAGGAGAAAGAAGCAAGATAGAAGTTTGTAAGGTAAGCAGAGGTCTAAATAACCTCATAAAGGAGTTTAGATTTTATCTTCAGTATTTAGGAAACCAGTTAAATGTTTTAAGCAAAAAAGTAATGTGATCAAATTTGTATTTTTAATAGGTAACTAGCTGCGAAGTTTAAAATAGTTGGGGACAGGCAAGATTGAAACCAGGGAGACCAATTAAGCAGCAATTATTTGTAATAATCTTGGCAAGGGATAATGGAGACCTGGATTAGGTGGTAGTAGAGAGCATGAAGAGTGAGTGGTTTCTTAATATATATTTTTATGATATAAAAATCCATGGAATTTTTAAATTTGTTGTTAGGGAGTAAAAAGGAAGAAGTCAGAAATGACTCCTGGGTTTCTTGACTGGGAATTTCATGAATAATATGCCGGTCAATGAGGGTTAAGAAGATGTTAGCTCAATTTTTGATATTTTCAGTAGAGGTCCTTTGAAACATCCATGTGGGGATGACAAGACGGAGTTTTGTGTATGAGTCTAGAGCTTGGGAGGGGTTTGAACTGGAATTCGGTGTCATCACATCTAGTATCCATATCATATGTATGGTACTGAAAGTTATGGGAGTAAATGAGGACTCCCAAGGAAGTGTGTAGACTAAGAGATGAAAGTCTAGGGTAGAACCATTGGGGACACCAACACTTGAATAACAGGCTAGTGATGAAAATACTGCACAGAGTCTAAGATGTAAAAAAAGAAAAAAACCAAAAGAGCATAGTGCCATGAAGCTTAGCAAAGAATATTCCAAGGGGAAAATAATCAACAGAATTGAAAAAAATATTTGTTAAATTTTTGGACCCACTTAACAATGGGATTTAAACCAAAAAGAGCAAAACAAAAACACCAAACCTGTTGCTGTCAAATCGATTCCCACTCATAATGACCCTTTAGGACAGGGTAGAACTGCCCGTTTCCAAGGCTGTAATCTTTACAGAACCAGACTGCCGCACCTTTCTTCTGCGGAACAGCTGGTGGGTTCGAATTGCCAACCTTTGGGTTAGCCACCAAGCACTTAACCACTGCGCCACCAGGGCTATGGGGTTTAGGTTTCAGAATAAAATTTACCATTCCATGACTTACAATTACCTACTATACCTGTGAATCAACTCTCATCTTTTTCACCTTCTCAAATATCCGGAATTTAGTACAGTCCCTCACCATAATAGCTACTCAGTAAATATCTATTGATTAAATTAACAAATGAATGCCATCCTACTTTGTCTCTTGCGTATATAGCACATGTTCCTGGATCTCCCCAAAATCCACCAATTAAAAAACAACCACCAGCCTTAATTTTTTTGGGGGGGTGGTGGGAGGCTTCCAAGTTCTATCGCTCCTGGACACACACACACACAAACACACACACACACACACACACACACACATTCCCTCTCCCTCCTGCTCTGCTCTCCCTTCCTCTTTACATGTAGTAGTGAAACAAAAGTTCAGCAAGTGAGTATGGCCTGAATGGTAGGAATCAGTGGAAAAGGAAAAGGATAAAATAGCAAGGGGGCAGCAGGGAGGAGAGTGTTTTCAATCTTCTAAGGAATCACAAACAATAGAGACAAGCATATTTGACAGTGATTTTTACAATGCAGCTTGTAATTACCCAGATTCTTCACCGGAGCTTACTATTGTCTGGCTCATTTTTCATGACATTCATTTGTAGTTACATTGCACTGCTCTTCTTAAAAACCAAGTATTGTCTTTGACTATAAATATGTGGTGCAGTATCAGAGTTCTGTTTGCATATGGGGTTGAGGTACATTGAAACAAGCAAATCCCTGCTTTAATCCCCTCAAGATCAGCTGAAACATTTAAAATGGACACAAAAGGAAATCCAT